TTATTCTAAAATAAAAATCACGTTGAAGACGGAAAAGTTGTATAGTATATAAATAAAAATAATAGAATAATCGAAAAATAATAGAAATAAAATAAAAACCCTTCTTTTTCGAAAGAGCTCATTTCTGAAATATATAAAATAGTAATTAAAATGAGATCTTTTGACATTTGTATATGTTTTTATAATAGTTTCTTAATAATAGAATAATAATATAATAAGAGAAAGTATTTCTAAAAGCAATAAATGAACATATTTATTTTTAGAAAGAGATCCTTTCTGAAATTTATAAAATAGTAATTAAAAATGGATCTTTAGAGATTTGTATATGTTTTTATAATAAGTTTTTAATAATAATATAAAAGAATAATGATAGAAGTAATTTCTTAAAGCTAAAAAGATTATTTCTGAAATTTATAAAATAGTAATTAAATTTGGACCTTTCGACTGCTATATTTTTTTACACATTTTTTTAGAGTTCCTCTGAGTTGATGATAGTACTCTTTATATGTAGTGCTATGGATATGTTCTCCAAGAATAAAAAGGGTATCTCAGCTTCGGTGTGTTGTTCTTTGCTTGCTGCAATTTGCGTTTACTTATTGACATTGGTATTGTTGTTGTTTGTCTGAGTGTCTGTCTGTCTGTCTGTCTGTTCGTCTGTCTGTCTGTTCGTTTGTCTGTCTGTTCGTTTGTCTGTCTGTCTGTGTAGTTGTGCGCAACCTTGCGCCTGTTTGTATGCAACGCTTTTAACAATTGTTGATGAACTTGCGCATCATCAATTCACGGAGCCAACTGTACAAAACAATGTGCAACGTAATTATGATAAAACGTTACTCGAATGTTGCATTGCTGTTTGTTTGCTTTGTTGCACACAGTGCATTTAGCTAGAACTGATTGTAGTATTGTTATTACTATTATTATAATTATTATTATTTACTTTGTTGCTTATTATTATATTCAAGTTGAGCTGCTGTCTATGTTGACATTGATTTGACGAAAATACGCTTGTCGCATTTATTTTGTTTTATTTACTATCTGTTGTTTTGTCTGTTTGTATCTATGTGTGTGTGTGTGTGTGTGTTTTGTTGAACCTCCTCTTGCAAATTTCACATTCGTTTGCTTCACTTTTCTGGTTGGTTGTTTTTGTTTCTTATTTTTTGTGCGCGCTCAGCGAAAATGTTGTGCCGCAAAATTGTTTTTGTTATTGTTGTTTTCGTTTACGTTTTCGTTTTCGTTTGCGTTTGTGTTTTTCTTTTGTTGCTTCCATTATCGCTGTAATTTTTTGGAAAAATACAGCTGTTAACAATTGCATTGACATATAACCCAGGCAGAGAAAATGCCAACGCAGCTCTGCCATTTAAAATTAATTAATTAAGCATTTTCTGCCCAACAATAACACGTGCACTTCGAGTGGGTGGCTTGCTTGATTTTTCGATTTCTGATTTCTGATTTTTAACCTTACTCGTCTCTTTCATATTTGATTTATTTTATTTTATTTCTCGTTATATGCTCGACAACCAATGCAAGCCAGGGTTGCTGGTAAGCGTGCCTTGAATTGTTCTTCTTGTTGCGACTGTTGTTGAACACACACACACACACAAACACACACACACACACTTATATATTTATGTAAGCCAACTAGACTAACTAGACAAGTAGCCAGTCTAAATAGAAGCTCAGCTTCGTCTAGTTAAGGCCATTTGGCAGCTCTTCTTGGAAGTTGTCAAGGAGCTAAGCAAATTACACAAGCATAAAAAAAAGTTATTTTCTTACGTAGAATTTTATACATTTAATGTTAAAGCGAAGGTTGACTCGCAGAACCATAATTTGTTTATACTTTTAACACTTTTCTATTGAGATAAATGCAAAAATATATCGAAATTTGTTGCGTGGTAAAAAACTTAAGATTTAACTTGGCCTCAACTTGCTTTTACATACATAAATAGATATGTACATATTTTTGCATATTTTTACATCATTACATAATAATAATTACAAATTGTTCTGTATTTAAAAAAAAACTGTTATAAACCTGCCGACAAGGATTACTCTCCTTATTATTCGAAAAGTATACTTCCAAGACTAAAGTTTGTCTATTTGAAAAATCTGAGTTTTTTTTTCGTAATTCCCTTTAACATTTTTCTAAAATTTAGCATCTCATCTTTATTATTATTATTATTCTTACATTAAGCTTTTTACTGACTCCATATTTTTATAAAACACTCATTATAATCTTTCAGAAATCTAAAAAAAAAATCTAAAATTTTATATGAAAACATTGATATATAATCAAAAATCATGGCAAAGGCCAACTTTTCGACAGAGGTCAAGAGACAGAAAATAATACTATTTTTATTGTTACAACGGTTTGCATTTCTACTTGAAAATATTTTCTATTATAATGAAATAAATTGTTGAAAAATAGAATTGAAAAAAGTCATTTTACTTTAAAGAAAACATTTTTTGTTGTATATTTTGAAATTATGTGTTAGAAACCGGTTTTAGTATTCAGGACGATTAATTTATATATTTATAATTTTATTATATATTTATATTTTTGTTGCGTTTATTTATATATTTATTTTGTTCATTAATTTAGCATTTATCAATTAAAATAAATAAATCCAAATCCATAACAAAGCAGAAAAGACTTGTCCAAAACTTGCCAATGTATTTATATATATATATATATATATATATATATATATATATATATATGTATATATATACATATTTACATAGCTGCTACTGATGTAAAAAGTTTTTTAATTGCCAACTCGAATTTGGAGTTGTTCCTCTGCAACGAGTATGATTTGTGGTATGCATCATTTTGTGTCAGGTTGCAGGTTAAATGCTTCTTCTTCTAAAATATTCTATTGGACTTAAAGGAGTTGTTTGCAGGGGGGCGGGGGAGTGGTTTTAATGCTAACAAAATATGTATATTTTTTTTTGTTGAAAAGAATAGGAATATGGCCAAAGTCCACAAGTGTATGCCGAGGGGGGGGGGAGTTGAGTAAGGGGGGGCCAGTCACGGAGCAAGGCCAAAAAGGAACAATAGAAATAATACTATAGACGCTGTTGCTGTTGCTGTTCAACGAAATGAAATACAATAAAATTTAAAAACAAACAAATGCAAACACACACAGTGGGTGGGGAGGAGGCAGACGGTGGAGTGGCGCACACAAAATAAGGAGGGATTCTGAATGCGACTAATGAGCACCGAAACAAGTACAACAACAACAACCAGAACAAGAACAACAGTAGCAGCAGCAGCAGCAGAAGCAGCAGCAGCAGCAATAAACAGTGGAGTGGCAGCAGCACGCTGCTAGCGTCGACTGCGCTGCTGCTGTCAGAGCTTTGAAATAAACAAACAGAACTAAAAACAAAACAAAATAAAATAAAATAACAGCTATATCCAGCACGTGTGCGGATTGAATACCCTGTGTCTAAGCAGAAGTCGACCAGCACCAAAAATGATAATGAATTATAGCATTTAAATATAGTTTCGTGGAATTAATTGTATGCATACAAATAGTATTTATAATAATTTAATTTATAATTAAAAAACAGGTATTTCTAAATAAAATTTGTAATACAGATATTTAAGATTTGGACATTTGCACAAAGCGTGACACGCTGATTATTATTCCCTGTGCAAAGCTTTAACAACAACAACAGCAAAAACAGCAGCAGCAGCAGCCAAAATAAGCACAGTTGTTGTTGTTTTATTATAGAATGCTTATTTACGCACACAGTTGCATTGTGTGCGAAAGAGAAAGGCAACAATTGACGACAGTCCCAGAGCGGAGTGCGAGAGGGCGAGATCGGGACTAACTTTGTTTGTGGAGCGCACAGAAGCAACGCACACATTTATTTATGCAGTGTTGTGTGTGTGTGTGTGTGTTTCCATGTATGCCTTTGTGTGTTTGGCCTAAAACTCAAACTAAAATTCGACTCCGCCCTAATTCTGCCCACCAGAGGCAGCTGCTGCTGCCCCATTGCCTGGCTGCATTTCCTATTTCGTTGTGTTGCCCCAAAAAGTTTGTTGAGAACATTTGCAAATGTTTGTTTTAGCCAAACGGTATATGCTTCGTTTGCTTAATCATCGTCATCATCAACATCATTATCATGATCATCATCATCATCGTCATTATTACCGTTGCATTGCCTTGTTTTGTACAATTTCATTTGTTTGTTTGTTTGGGTTTGGGCGTGCGTTGGTGTGTTTATGTGCGTGTGTGTGTGTGTGTTTATGTGTGTGTGTGTGTGTATTGTTTTGCTGGTGTGGGTGTCTTGCTTTGGCTTCTTCCATTCTTTCATGCCCACTGCCCTTTTCACTCTGCTATTGTTTCTGTTGCTCCTTGTTTGCCATCCTCGTTGCCGTTGTCGTTGCCGTTGCCGTCGTCGTTGACGTTCCCGTTGTCGTTGACGTCTGCCTGCTACTTCTGCGTAGTTTTGTTTATTTTATTTGTTTTTCTTTGTTTTATTTTTGTTTATTTTTGTTTGATTTACGTTTGGCCATACCGTTGCCAGTTACTCACCCACCAACCACCCACTACCAAACCCCCCTCCTCTCCAACACTCCCCCACTCCACCTTTTCTCCTTTGTTTTACTTGGTTTGCTACTTCCTCTTGCTTCTCTGGTTTGCTTCGCTCCCCAGCGAGCATGTTTATAGAGCGTTGGGAGAGGGGAGAGGGGGTTTGCTTTAGTTTGCTGCTGCTGCTGCTGCTTCGTTTCGTATTATTTTGCTTTGTTTTCGTTTTGTTGTTTTGTTTTATTTTTATTTTTATATGTAGGTACTGTATTGACTTAAAGTTTGTTTTACTTCTTTGTCTTTGCGTTCGCGTTGTTGTTTTTTGCTTATTGTCCGACAGAAATGCCTGGAAACATTTCTCTGCTTGACTCCGGGTGGATTGCTTTTTCAGATATCGACTGGGTCCTAATGAGACCGACTAGACCACTAACAAGAAAAATTAAATTTAACAAAAAAAATCCAAATTAAAGTGGCTGGCAAATTAGCTTTTGTATTCTATGTCAAAGCTGAGTTTTTGCTTTTCAGATTCATGCATTAATTTAATATGTCGCTTTGTCATTTAAATATCAAAATTTAAAGTGGATTTTTTTTTTTTTTTTATGGCAACTTATGGTAAAGTTAAGGAATGGTCGCGGTCATTGATATGCAGGCCAAAGGATAATCTAACAACCGAGGCTGGCTTACGGGCACAGCGACATGCAATGGTGTCAACCATCGAGTGTGAGGTGAGCACTTAATTGCAGTGCATTTAACTAACTAACTAAATACTAACAGTTTAATTGAAGTCTTTTCCAAACTCGATGTCGATGCTGATTGGCATGGAGTACGGGAGGACTTGGTTGCGGGACCGCGATGAATTTCAAAAGAAGCATGACTCGAAAGCTCAGGTAAAGTTCATCAAGAACGACTTTGAATGGTGGCTGAAGCTGCGCAAGACAAATAGGTGCACCTGCTCCCTCTGACAACTTTTCCCGTTTTGTGAAAAGTTTCGCTGCATTTTGCTTACAAGTACAATTAAATTACTACTGCTGCTGCTACTGCCGACCGAAAAAGCTATGCGTTCGTAACGGTATTAGCAAAGACACACACCACGTCGTCGCAAGCTTTTCACCCATTGTAATTGCGCAAAGTTTGTTGCTATCAGCTGGCTGCTGTTCAGTGCAAAATTTCTTGCTGCGACAATTGTGGAAAATGTGTATAATTAAAATTAAGCGAACTTTATGCACACAATAAATACAAGTAAGAAACTTGTTAATTGATTAATTTACTTTGCATATGGATATTAACATTAACTTGATTTATCTGTAGATATGTACATAAATTAATATTGCGTTTGGTCAAGTATAATTGGAAAACAGCTGTTGCATTTCGACCGGCGGCAGCAGCAAGAGACAAGAAAAAAGCTCTCGCCGCCTGCCTTCACACAGGTTGTAGTTATGCTCAAATTTGCGCTCTAACTCTCCTCTACTTCCCTCTCTCGCGCTCTCTCTCTCTCTCTCTCACTCTCTGGCCGAGAGGTGTACCACCCACATAGCAAAAGAATTTGCATGAATATTGACGAAGTTGCTCTCGGCTCTCGCTGCTGCTGCTGCTCCCACGCGGTCTTTCACATGTAGTTGCTGCTGTTGGCTTCGTGTGTCGTTCGGTCGTTCGCTCGGTCGGCTTATTGCTCATTGCTCGTCGTCGTCGTCGTTGTTGTCGTGCTTTGGCTCGTTTGCAGTTTTCCATGGTGGCACAGAGTCAATCAAAATCAAACGTTTGCCGCGTTTGGGTCGTCGTCTTGTGTATCGACTCTCTGTGTGTGTGTTGATTTTTCCCGTTGGTTTGTTAAATGCTCCGTCGAGCCCCAAATGCCAACAAGTTATACACAATAACTGAAATTTGCAAACTTGTTACGGTATTTTCAACACCAAAATAAATGCAAACGAAGAAAACGGCATCAAGCATAAAGCAAGCAAAAAGTCGAAAAAACAATAACAAATTGTTGCTGCTGCTTCGCTGCGTATTTGTTGTTTTCTTTCGTGCTCGCGTTCGTTTCGTTCCGTATGTGTTTTGAATTTGTCCTTGTGTGCATATGCGTGTGCCTATTTGTGTGTGTGTGTGTGTGCGTGTGTATTGCGCAAAATAAAAACATTTTCAGCTCTTTCGCTGCAGTAGCAGAGGCAGCAGTAGCAAGCAGCAGCTGGTAAGTTAAAAGCAAACTATTACAAATTTGCATATTTAATAGTTTTTTTTGCAAACATTTAATTGTTTTCATGTGTCGCTGGGATTCTGCAACATTTTATTATGATTTTTATGCGTGCAAATGGACAAAAATGGCAACAATATGTTAACTTCACACACACACACACAGACACATTTTAGCTTTTGTGTGTGTATGTCTGTATGTGTGAGAGAGTTGGAAATACCAAAGCAGCAAAAAGTGCCAACACAAGTTGGCTTACAGGTGCATGCACATACAGCAAATAAAGGCAAAGCAAAGCAACGCAACGCAAAGCAAAGCAAAGCAACGCAACGCAACCAGTTGACAACGGCAACAAAAGCGTAAAGCCGGCGTAGTAGTTGCGCCGCTGCTGCATGGTCAGGGCTTCGCAGCGGGCAGAGCAGAGAAGCGGACAGAGCAGCGGACAGAGCAGCGGACAGAGCAGCGGGCAGAGCAGCGGGCAAAGCAGCGTGCAGAGCTGAGCAAAAGCAGAAGCAAAAGCAGAAGCAAAAGCAGAAGCAAAAGCAGAAGCAAAAGCAAAAGCAGAAACAAAAGCAGAAGCAAGCAAAATTGAAGCCTTTTTTTTTTGTTGGTTTGAGTGTGTCTTGCTGGTGGCAGTTGCCACCGACTTCGCTGTCGACGTCAACTGTAAATTGCGCTGCTGTTGCACGTCAACGTTTTCCATGTCTTTTGGCATTTTCACATACACTGCTCAAATATGCATATGTATCCGTGTATCCGTGTATCTGTGTATCCGCGTATCTGTGTATCTTTGTACACACATAAATATTTATGTATCTATGCACGTAGAAATGTGTTGCCGTCTTTGCTTTTGCTTTTAGGATTAAGAGCTTTTCCCCCAGTTTTACTTTTCATGCATTTTTCAAGTCTATTGCGTTGTTTTACATCACATCGTGAATATTTCGCAATTAACGCAATTTCGCCTATGGCATATGTTTAACAGACATCGGTTTTCCCTTCATTAATTGACACTGCTCGACTAGAGATACCCTCACAAAATGCTAACAAATATTCTTAGTTGCCTGCTTGAATTTAAAATACGAAAAGATTATTATCAAGATGCTGATAAAAGGCACCCATTTAAGGTTTGCTTACACGCTTAAGCAAAGACGCAGTAGGAAATGCAGTTGCTTACATATATATATATATATGTATTTATATACATACATATATATAGAGCCGTATTTATGCCAGTATGCCGAAAGGAGGACGAGAAATAATCTCACTTTTCGCTGTGTTTAGAGAGCATCGCCCACGCGCCACAGGCGAAGCGACCATGTTGCCCCCACGCCAGCGAGAGCGTGTCCTTACCACACACACACACAGACACACACAGACACCTCGTCTTGTGGACGTTACAAACATTTGTTGCACTCTCGTTTCGCCAATTTCAACACGCGCTCGTTTCTCACCATGTTGACCATGTTTCCCTTCATTTACGCATGCTTTGTGCGCCTCTCTCTCTCTCTCTCTCTCTTTCTCACTGTCTCTCTCGCTCTGTGTCGCCTGTTAGCCAGTAGCCGATTTCTGTTTGCTTTGACTCTGTTTACATTGCAAGTGTCCTGCCCCTCCCCTGCCCATCCCCCTTCGCTGGCTGGTTCTATTGTCTCTGTTGTCGACGTCATCAACGCCGTCTGAGCGCACCGACCATGCACGAGTAACGGTAAGCGTAACAGGCGTGGGCGAGTGGCTTCCTCCAGCCAACCATATGGTCAATGCTCACTCCAAATTAAGAATGGCCAAAGGCAACGCATCATTTGCCATTCAAAATGGAATAGGAAACGTTGCGACGCGACACAACTTGACGCGACTCGACGTGGCACGCTGCGATGCGAAAATATCCTTCGCGTACTCGTCTCCTCTCGTGGATGGGCGAGTTGGCTGCGCTAATTGAGACATTTGTCAACTTCCACAAATGAGTGGCAATTTATTAAAATGTTTAGTACCATTTTCGTTTTCAGCGCATAATCAGTTTTCCCCTCCGAAAGAAAAGCGAAAAATAAAAATAAAAAGAACTTTCAATATTTTAAAGACAAAGAAAAAAAAACCCAAAATTTATTCTTTTATTTACCAGCCCAAAAATTTCGATAATTATCCAATAAAAGAAATCCGCATCAACTATTTAATTTTCAGTTGGGATCGCTTCGGTTTGCGTAGCAATTTTGAGTCTGCTGGCATCAGTGTTGTGGTTGACTCATTATTTATCTGCGATGCAGCTTCGCTGTCAACTTGGCCTTTCTTCAACGAACACATCTGCTTCGACTTCTTGTCTAATTTTTTCTTCGAGTCTACATTTTGTAGCCCAGCATTTGGGCCCACTGCTGCCGTCTCGGCCATAAGCAACTCAAAAGTCATCGGAAGTGCAAAATATCTGCCTGTGAATTTCGATTCGATTTAGATGGATTTTGTTTTCCGGCTAGTCGTGTAATGTTTACCATTTAGTTTTTGTAGAAATCCCATTTGATGGCCCATTTGCAGGGTCTGCCGGATGGGTTGGGTCAGCTCGTCCTCGGGCAAATTTGTGTTCTCGGCAATGGTTGCCACAATCTCGCGGAGTGTCGCCGGCGTCTTGATGAACTGCAACGTGTGCATAACGATGGCACCATTAAAATTCGGCATTTTCTGGTTGTTATTATTATTAATGTTTATAACTATTGAAAATAACCAAAAATTGTATTTACTGATGATTGATGAAAGCCTGCTTTGTGCTCGAAAACTATTGTCATCAACTCAATCAGAAATATTTGAAAAAAAAAGTATTTGACAAGCAGCATTGACAAATTATGTAAATCTGTCACACGCTTATAAATATGAATATAAATATGAACATATGTCGATATCGATTACCCAGTTGATATATCTTCAATTCTTGCTAAACATATGGATAGAAATTACTTGTAATATTGTGCTGTTCATGAATAATAAATATATCTATCATCGTTAACAGACATCCCACAGATAATTAGTCTTTCTAACAAAAAAATAATAAATAAATATTAAAAAAATACTGCGAAGAGCTGAGTCTGCCAAGCAACATTTGAATTGCCTATTAAAGAAAGTGATGAGGATTCAGTTGTCTGAGCATGTCGATAGTATATATATTAATCGTGGCAGATCGTCTATAATGCAAGAGAAATCTCCGATCGGATCCTATATTGCTGATTCCAACTGGATAACGACTTCAAGTAGACCTGAATTGTATAGAGAAAGCTAAGAAATCTTCTTTACTACTATTGTGATAAATTGAAATACTTTTTAAATAATTAAATATATTTTTTTATTAATAATTTCACAGCTTTGCCATCTTTCAATGTTTACTTATTTTTTACTATTGATTGTTTGTCTTCAAATAAAATGTTCATAGTTTTTAAACTATATTCAAACTATTCTTTAGCTTAGCAGTTTCCAAAAATATACATTTTCCAAATAGATACATTAATTAAATATATTACTGTCTGGCAATAATTGTGTTATTGTTATTTGCTTTGAGAAAATTGAACTCTGCTGGCATTTCACGCTTAACGCTTATCAGATATATATATATTTATATATATATATATATATATTTGTTGACAGATGAAAGTCTGAAATGAAACGTCAGCTCATATCTATTTCCGTAATCCATGACAACAACAGCACCGATTATAGGTTAAGGCTGTTACTCTGCCATTTGATATTTTTGCAAATATGCTGCTGCTGCTGCTGCTGATTATCAGCAGCTAAAAATAGAATATATCGAGCAGGCCGAGAATCCCCGAGCTGCTTGACAACTCTGCTGCAACATATGGCCAAAATTGGGTGTTTAATTAAACTGCCAACGCAAAAATAAAAAAGAAAAAAAGAAAAATGATATCAGCCATTGGCAGCCAGCATATTGTAAACTAAATGAGACTCTCAATTATCCAATCTAATATTATTATTATTATTATTGTGTGTTATGTTACTGTAATGATGAAATGCAGCTTCTGGAATGTTTGCGATAATGGCATTTGCATTTGTAGTCAACTTGTGCTGTGCCTTGCCATATGGGGCACAACTCAACTCAACTCAACTCGCACCGAACCGAATCGAGTGGGCTAAAAATAAAGCAGCCCAGCTAAGTATGCTTTAGTTTTTGGTGTAAGGTCAAACAAAGTTTGCAGCTGTTGTGTGCCACTGATTGCAAGTGGGTTGAAATTCGTTTAATTTCCGTTTTAGATATCACAACACAACCAGACCAGTTTGGCAGCCCCACAGACGCCAGCGGCAATAACTTCATATCCATCTGGCATAAGGTCACCGAGCACACGAACTAGATAAATTGATATTTATGGCAACAATTGTGAGCTGATTATATCAAAACAATAAAAGAGCAACAACAACAACAACAACGGCTATCCTAGACACGTGGAAAATTACTTAACCATCGACTTGTAAATTCCACTATTTAATTCGAGAACACAGACCAATTGTTCAGTTGAAAGCAGTTTGATATTTTTGCCAGATGTTGATGCTTTTTGATGAGTTTTATTTTGAAGAAAAGTTGGTAAATAAAGAACTCATCAGTCGACGGATCGTTTCTATGGCAGCTATATGTTGTAGTAGTCATTTCTCATTAAATTCACATCCAAATGTGAGCAACAGAATAAGTGGATTGGAAATATTGGTAAACAAAAAAGTTAAGCTTTCTTTCTTTCTTTTGCAATGCGTTATAAACTTGACGACAAATTACAATACTCTCTGTAAGTGTATGAATTGGGTATATATGTGTAGGAGAGCAGTAAACAGTTATAGGCAGATATAGTCAGTCTATAAGTAGACAAAAGCTGTAACTTATGGAATAGTTAACCCCTTTAAATACTCTTTACATATATTTAGTATACACATATTTATTCCAAATTTGAAATATCTCCTAGATAGCCCACTCTCGAAGCCAGCTTATTAAGTGATGAGTTTGATATTCAGCTCATATACCCTGTACATTTTATATATATATAAAATGTAGAAAATAAGTAACTCTTATTTAAATGCACAAAATGTATTAAATAAGTCGTCTTATTCATTGGCATTGGATGTCTTTTTAGATACCCTGTCCGCCTACTTAATATGCTGCTCTGTGTATCAAAGTTTCAAGGGGTATCTGCTAGTAAGACACTTGTCTGCCCTTGACTGTCTACCTTCGCGTGCGTCATTTGACTGCAACCGAAAATAATTAAGACAATGGCAGTGCCCAGATTTGAGTGGGTGGCAACTTTTACGCACTTGCGTCCTCATTTATTACACTGTTGCCATTTGAGGCTGTGCCACACACCCATCCCAGCTGTGGCTGGTGGTATGCCACAACCACAATTCCGTTAGCTTGCGCTCGCCATAAATCCTTAAGCTCCTTTCGGTGGCTGCTCCTGTTTTTGTAGGACTTCACTGAATACAAAGGAACTGGGCTTAGCGGCTGCAATGGAACAACTTTTGTGCTATCATGTTAACTTGGCTTAGGTATCTCTTACTCCAGAATAATATTTTAAATTTGTATACCCTACTCGCATTTATAGTTGGGTATATGCAGCTAGATCTGTTAACTTTTCCGACTAACATTTTGAATTGTGTATACCCGAAATGGTTATAATGTACAAGCTTTCTTGATAGTAGCTATATCTATATCTATATCTATATCTGTATCTGTATCCGTTGCCATTAGTAGTCAGCAGCAATCCTGGCTGTTCCCGCCTGAAATCATCGCTCAGTTTTAAAGCCTTACCAATGAAACTGGGCATAGATCAAAATGTCTGCTGTTGAATATTAATGCGTCTATCTGGGGTTATTTTGCTGGCATCAGTCATTACTCATACGTCCTGGGCTGGCTGGTCATGCGACGTGACTTGGCTGACCTTTATTTTTCGCCCGCCCTCCCCCACAGCAGATAAACCATAAGTTTGCGCTCATGTGGCGTATGCGCAATAAAATAAACTTACACACATATTAATCATACGCCGCTTGAGCCCAGTGAACATTAATGGGCAAAAACAGCAGCACCTTAACAGCGCCCACCTGACTGTAAAACTTGCTTTGATTCCTTGCCAGGTTATTCAATTAGAGATTTGCCGTCTAATAATCTTGCAATGAAATGTGTAACGACGTCTTCAGCGCTTTAAAGTATATCAACTTCACTAAAAGAGTCGTTTATCTGTCCGATTTTTGTTGCATATATATACAGAACTCAATCAGTCCTGAAGTTATCTATATTTTATAGTTGCCATTGAAACAAGACTTGCTTTCGTATAAAATATATTTTATTAAGCTTTAAGTCAGCTAAAAGATAAACATTATTTATTTATATGCTTTTATTTAAGCCATACTTATTCCCTGGCCAAGTTACTTGCTTATTAATATTTGAAGCAAAGCTATTATTCTATTTTTATCACGCATTTTGCATTCACCTTGTGGAAACCCCAATATTTAATTTTCTATTTTTCTTTCAATTGTTTTGGGTTGTTTATTGATATATATGTGAAAAACAAACCAAGATAAGCAAACCCTGCATTTGAGATGAGTTCAACTTTTATAATTGAAATGCATATTTAATGAGAGAAAATCAAAAATTGCTTGCAAAATTAATAACTGTTGAAATGAAATTCACAACTTGATTTTCCTTCTTTTTTTTACAGGCGCTGCAACTGCGAAAAAGGTGTAAATAAAAATATAAATCAAATAAAGTGTTTGTCACTGATTTAATAAGTTTCCCATCATTTTGATAAATGTATATTTGAGTGTCAGTGTAAATGAGATTATATATTCTAATACAGAGAACTAGGCTTGGGAAACAACAGCAAGAACAACATGACATTACTCACAAAAGCAATGCAACCAGTGCAACAACAGCAACAACAGCAGCAACAGCAGCAACAGCAACAACAACAACAATCAGCCCAATTTGCGCCTCTAACCGACATGCAGTTAATAATTAATCGCAGTGTAATTGGCGAGTAACAGTCCGCGACAGCGAAATATTCCCGGCTGGGGCATATTTAATTATAATGGCAGCAGCCACTGTCAGTTCACACTTGAAGGCGCCGTCGAATGATTTGGTGTGCGACGAATGTGTTTATTATGACGGTTGTGAAATACCAACAACAGCAACAGCAGCAGCAACAGCAGCAGCAACAGCAGCAGCAGCAGCAGCAACAACAACAACAGCTGATGCAGTCACAACAACAACAGCACTATTTATCGACAATAGCACGCAAACCGAAGACGAAATGGATGAGGAAGAGGAGGAGGAGGAGGAGGAGCTGCAGCTGGAGGTGTTGGTGTTGCAAGGGCAGGACGAGGAGGAGGAGCAGAGGGAGCAAGGGGAGGAGGAACAACGCGAGGAGAGTCGAAAGTCATCACGTTCGCAGCTTGAGCAGATCATTGAGGAAGAGCAGGATATCGAAGAAACCGATAACGATAACAATTTCGATAACCAGACCAATATGCCAGATTTACAAGACTATACAGCGCGAGAGGAGGAATCTTCCAGGGCACACGAACCCAAAGATTTGAAGGAATTCTACCACAACGACGTCAACGCCAATGGAGTCGATGATGATGTGGCCAGACTAACCGGACTAGCGCTTGAGATGGGCTATGCTCGAATAATAGACTACGATAACTTGCGCATTATCGAGCATGTTATCGAAAGCGATGATGACGACGACGATAATGATAATGATGATGATGATGAAGAAGGGAAAGGGAAAGATAAAAAAGTGGCAGCAACAACGCAACAGGCTGAATTGCAACAGGCCTGTCAGGATTTGGTTGCTTTCATCGATGAAAGCTACCAGTTAATCAACAATAATACTGTGGTCGACAACAACAACAATCGGGACATGGCTGCCATGCCGGAGCATGTGAAAGCGGTGCGTGATGAGAAGGCCGTAATTAAAAAGCCAGAGGATCTAAAGCCAACCAACTCAGTTGCAGCAGCAACATCAACAAGCAGCAGCAGCACCAACAGCAACAGCAGCAGCACCAGCAGCAGCAGTGCCTTGGTCAAGGCATACCAATCGAATCTAACGCCACTGGCGCCACCCTTTCAGCCGGCGGCATTAAAGGCTCACTTGCAGCCAACGACATCATTGGCCACAAATAGCATCAACAGCATCAGCAGCAGCAGCAGCAGCAGTAATTGCAACATGCCCCACAACAGGCAGACTCAGGCGACAAGCACTTTGTATGCCGCATATGAGCAGACAACGGTTTACTATCAGCAGCATGCGCTGTCCAGCTTACATCAGCAACAACAACAGCAACAGCAGCAACAGCAGCAACAACAACGGCAACAGTTGTCGCCCAAGCAACAGCAACAGCAGCAGCAGCAGCAACAGCATTGCAGTCAACACGGTGGCATACCACACATTCATTTGCAATCCGCAACTGGCGCTCAATTGCTGCCGGTGCAATTGGTCACACTAACGCCAACGGCTGCAGCAGCAGCAGCAGCGGCCGGATCTGCAGCAGGCGCAACAACAGCTGCTGCAGCGACAACAGCAACTGCTGCTGCCTGGCCACTTGTGGATGCGCCCATATTTATGGATATTAACGGTGAGATTCGTAGCTATTGTCCAGCTCATGGACCGCCAGCAGCAGCAGCAGCAGCAGTTGCAGCCGCAGCAGCAGCAGCAGCGGCAGCCGGCGCCACAGGACAACCATTGTTGTCCTCACATCATCATCATCATCAACAGCAACAGCAACAACAGCAGCAGCAGCAGCAGCAGCAACAGCAACATAATCTGCTGCACCATCAGCAGCAGCAGCATCATCTTCAGCAGCAGCAGCAACATCATCATGAACAGAAACTCGCACAGCAGCAACAATTGACACCGTCGTTGGCCGTTGTGACAAATGTTAATGGAAATATCGGCCAGGCTGAAACAACAGCGCCACAAATGATGTTGCAACTGGATGCGGCTATCCAACAGCAGCAAAAGCAGCAGTCTCAGCAACAACATCACCAGCAGCAGCAGCAGCAGCAACAGCAGCAACAACAACTACAACCAGCAATCGTTGCTGCTGGCAAACGCAACAAACTTTATCGAGGTGAGTGTCCGTTTTATGACATTTGTCCAGCAAATTTTATACTTATTTCCGCCAAAAGCTATTTGGCTTCGCCTCAACATTATGTTTGACTTTATAACTTCCATTTCTGACGCTTCTCCGGAACTCAATGGGTGCATGGTCAGTGGCTGATAGGCGAACAGGAACAAGAACAGGAACAGAACAGTTAATCAGCTTTGCTGGACTCAAATAGTCAAATGGTGAATGGGTTAGCAATAATTGAAATCAACTGCTGCCAATGGGAATTTGAACAATTACTGTTCAATCAATAATCAAGGAGGATTCTTATCGAGAAGATATGTAAAGACGTGAACCGTAATAAAACCTGCCGCGATAAGAGTTCTCCGACCTGATAGGATAATGAGTCTAGACGCATTTGCAGCAGTAAATATGTAGCTAGATAATGTACTAAATAGTATACAAATAATTGCTTATAACTATAAGATAATTTTGAAGTTTTCAATTCAAATTCAGCAATTCAGCAGCAGTCCATGTTCGATACTTAAACAAATTCGTTGTGTTCTAAAATTGCTCTTGGAATCATATCTCAGTTGTACTTGTGCCGCTTATATATTAAATAATTACTTCTTTGATTTGTAGACTCTAAGAAACCATCGCCAATTATAATTTGAAAATTACTTGAAACCCAAATCGATAGATCGATAGAAGTCTACTTCTTTTACTATTACAAGTCTACAATTGCCAACTATTGTTTGTCCCTCTGATTGCAACACAAAGCTAACAATCTGTGCAAAATTGAGTTAGTTAACTGGAGCAGTTAACAGTTAACAGTTTGCTGGAGCAGTCAACAGTACTCCAGGACAAAGACTTATGTACACATATTTACCAATTTTAATTGTTGTTTTCGACAGTTTCTTCATAGAGTAAATAAACAACAAGAAGTCTGAATACTCTAGTCGAGAGTGCTCGATTGGCTGATAATTGTTCTGAATGTATGCTGATTTTCCTTGTCTCTTAAGGGATGAGTGAAGGTAACAGGCAGAAGGCAGCATATCAGGAACAACAGCTGAGTCGATATAGCCATATCTGTCCCAATCTCAGAACTATATTATTCAAATTTGGAATATAAATATTGTGAATTTCTTTATCTATATTATATTATATATATAGAATTCCACTAGCAATAGGCAGATAGTTCTAACTGATATATAATATACATTAACATATTAATGGTCAACCACAAACATTTTATGAAGTTTGAATAAGGAACACCCAAGTTGCAGTCCAAAACCTTTTCTCATATTAAACTCAGGCACTCAACCGCATTTAAAGTAATTTTGGCTGCTGCTTGGCTATTGAATTGCGTTGCATTAATAATGAGTTGATTAAGCTGGGCTTAATTAAATTCATAAGTTGGCCTTTAATAAGGGTGTCTTTTTCGATGTATATCTTGCCACGCAGTCTCCCCCATAAAATTGATAATAATTATGCAAACTGGCTTGAGTATATAATGATTATAATTGATACCTCTTCAGTGGAGCGTTAACTGTGGTCTTCGACGAGCAGCTCGTCCTGCCACGTTGCATGCACCATCCTGCAGTTTTCTGTTAAGTCATCAAGTTGCGCCAACTTGACCATATCCAGCTGTGCATGCAGATGGCGCTCTGTAATCAATAGTCAATTTTGCTGTGGTTTTGTGGCTAGCTTGCTAGGACTTGTGTGTCTTTATTTGTTGGTTGCAAACTGTTTCTGTATCACACACACACACACACACACACACACACAGACTTTTCTATAAAGTATGATGTACATTTTCTGCTTGCCATTTCATAAGTTGTTTTCTTTTTCCTTATAGACACAATATTAAATTTTTTATATTATTTTTTATCGTGTCCGCATTTTAATTTTTTATTTTTTTTTTTGTGTTCATTTTTGGTAACAAGGCTCTTTGCCAAACCAATGTTTTTTTTTTTTTATTTCCTCTACATTTAATTTTCGTTATACTTTGTGGCATTGTCTGGTTTTCTTTTCGGCCGTGTTCCGCAAAACGTTTTCCACAAATATTCACGGAATTAATTAAAAAAAATTGCGCATTTAACGATAATGAAAGTGGAACATTTATAATAATTAAACGAGTAACAAAATGTCAGCGACAACAAGTTTGTCAAAATGATGGAGAAAACGTTCTTCGGATGAGAACAAATGGCTTTATGTGTCTATGATGATGATGAAGTGTGTGTGTGTGTGTGAGTGTGAGTGTGAGTGTGAGTGTGTGTGAGTGTGTGTTGGTAAAGTGAAGCATGCATCATTTGTCTGTCCGGCTGTCCCTGTCGTCCCTCAGTCAGTTGTCGCCATAGTGGTCAACGCTCACAGCCACATCCTTGTCCACATCCACATCCACATCCACATACTCCTCCTCGTTCTCGTCCAGCATGAATTGCGCCAATCGCATTCGGCTGCCATTTTTAAATTACCAGTTACCAGTTACCAGTTACCAGTAGCAGTTCGGCTACCCAGTCGCAGTCAGATGCAATAATTTTCACACTCTTTTCTTTTGCATGCCGCTTGCGACATCTGAAATGCGTTTGGTTTTGGCTGCGTTTCGGCTTTTCTGTATTTTCTGTATTTTCTTCTTTTTGTTTTTTATTGGTTGAGTATCATTTTCATTTGCTTGCTGCTTGTATGTCTCTCTCTCTGTGTGTATTTTTTTTTTATTTATATTTATATATAGTCTTTTTATAACATGTTGTAATTTATACTGTGCAAGTTCCGATTTTTTACAACTGTGCATCTCATGTGTTTATGGCCCGAAAGTTGTTTATTATTAATGTTTGCTTTATGCTGGCTGCCTTTTTTTTTCGATTTGTACTCATTCTTGCTAGTTTTTTTTTGTTATTATTGTTTTTCAACTGTAAAAGAGTGATTAATATTTGAGTTAAATTTGCCAATTGTGAAAAAAATATGTAAAATTTTATTTATATATATATTTTTTTTTCGTTGTTAAATTGGTGGAAAGCTGCTTCTGTTCAGATACCCTTTGCAATCTATAAAATTTTCCTGTTCGTTAAGTCATTTTCCCCTTTGTGAGTCAAAATTTCCATTTATTTTTGGTTTTAAAGTTGTTGGATTCATTTTTCTACTTTGACAGCTTTAAGTCGATGATATTTTTTTTTATTTTAGTCAGCTGAAATGTCGCAAAAGTTTGTCGTTTCTAGTTGGGGTTGGCAACCACTTGAAGCAAAGTAGCAATGGGATTAAGTATACGCCTGTTTGACACGCAATGATTACAAAGCAGTTGCAAAGTTTCAGATTAAATATTCAAAATATTGGCTCAACTTTAGGCGAGACTAGGACAACTTGCTGTTGAGCTGATTGCCATCTCTCAGAGACAGTGGGACAAAAAAGTATACAGCTCTCGGCACACACGCATTTTATATATTATTTTATATATTTATTTAACAGTTTGGCAAATTGATTGTTGATTAAGAAATACTACAGAGATAAAAAAAAGTTCAAGAATATTATTAAAATAAGTTTACTTAAAATTGAGTCCATCATTCATCATCATTAAAACATTTTCAAAACAGTTGATTGCATTTTGAAGAACCGGTAAAACACGTATTGACTTAAACCGATTTGCTGTTAAGCTGGCAAAATGAAAAAGTTATGAAAATCAATATCTGCACAGACTTAAAGCTAGACTCCCACAGCCTTGGCTGATTATGCTTGATAAAGGTCGAGTCAAAGGTCGAATACCCCCCAAAGAACTTATCTGGCACAGTTTAAAAGTCATTTCTCTCTGCTATGATTATTATTATTATTATTATTATTATTAGGAGAGTAACAAACTGGTGCAGTAACTGTTTATGCCACTGCACACATAATAACTTGGCCAACAATGTTGTTCAGTTGCCATTAAGTTCACACTGAGTGGGTACAGGTCAAATAATGGCAAGCATTCATTATACATATATATTGGATCAGGGGCATACTTAAATTGCCAAATCATCGGTTTGCTCTGAACTAACTTTCGCAAATAGAGGAACGCTCAGTGTAAACTTTCTCGAATCGAGCAAATCGCGTGCTTTGAACCGCCCAAGTCTCAAAATGAGACTGCTGCAGACCCGAAAATCTCCAAACTGAAATCAAAGTTGACTTCAAAAGCGAAAGGTGCCGCATCGCTTCGCTTATGATAATTGTACAGTGTGAAAGGTTGTCGTTGACTGAGGGGAGTGGGATGTGGATAAGAGATCCGAAAACAAGTTGCACGTACTTGAAGCAACATGAAAGGGAAAAGAAAAATAAAACGAAAAAGAAAAAGAAAAAGTCGCACTAGGAAAAACTCACTTAAAAACCGCAAATAAATGTCACGAATAAAGCCGCAGCTTGAGCCAGAGGTGATGCAACAATTGTCGACAGCAGACAGCCGACAGCGGACAGCGGACAGAGAGGGGGCTGCCAGGGTGCAGGGGCAGCAACAGCAACAGCAACAGCAGGAAAGTAGGAAAGTAAGGAAAATGCAAACGCGCAAAGTGCCAATAGACAGCGACAAAATAACAGTGCGGAAAATACGCTCAGCGAGCGACAACAATATAAACCTTTTGCAAGCAAAAAGATGAAGAAAAACACAATGCTTTGCGCTTTTATCTGGCTTATAATCAAGCTGTACAGATGCTTGCATTTTGCAGCTAAAAAAGCTAAAAAAAAACTCCAACGCGAACAGGTAAGAATGTTACCCAGTTACCCAGCTCAGCTCAGCTATTAAATATGTTCATTGAATGTTCTAGTTTCGGCAACTCAAATGTAAAAGCGAAATTATGTAAGTGAAAGTGCTCTAGCTTAATATAAATAATTATTAATTAATAATTATTAATTAAAGGACTTCTCAGTTATCCGTCAGCTCGTTGTTCCTTGCTCGACTCGCTTCCAACTTCAGTCAATGATTCCTTAATCTTTCATCTCTGAATCTCAACTTCAACTTAAACTAAAATAAAAGCAGTTATTAAGAAATTAGTTTGTTCAACTTGAAATATGTTTTAGTTAATTTATGTGCTTCTTATCCCATTTTTAAACAATTTTTTCAGTTGTCCAAAAATATGCCAGGCATATTTAAAGTCAATTAAAAAGTCTACCTTTTATTGATATCGATTTATCAGATATCGATTTCTATTTGATCGATCTACAAACTCAAAGAGGGACAATATCTGATAAAAGAGACCTTAATAGTCTCATACAGACGATAGATAAGCTCGGCTTTTGATACTGTTCACGAATATATATATATATATATATATACAGGATATGGTGACCCAAATACTTCCTTCAGCTTGTTACATACTTTTGTCCAGCTTTCTAATAGCCTTTTTGAGGCTTGATTCATTCATTTATTTATTGTTTTATCTTGGTTTTAACAGATATTATTAAAGGTTTTTGTATGTAAAACTTGTGTTTTACAAATTCCATTTGGGAACTTCAACTTTCTGTGTGTTTGAATTAAATGTAAACAACACAATCAAAGCTGCTGTAAAAATGTTGATTTTGAGTGTTTTTCACATTGAATGCGACTTAAAACTTATGCCAAGTTTTGCCAATTGCTCTGACCATTATGTGTGGCATACTCTTACTTTGCATAAAGTTGTAGCAGCAAAAATAATAATCATTTTTGACAATATAATGCGCATATTCTATCGGATTATAAATATTTGTTTGCAGCTATTTTGGCTGCATTTTCACTGATTTCAAGCTTTGCAAAGTTTTCGAAGGGAGGCAAAACTTTTACAAATTTTCTACAGCAAAGTACAAAAGGTCTATATATATATAAATATATATATATATACACCCTATGTACACATATGTTGAAGCATTTGCTTTAATATTATATATATATATATATATATATATATATACCCAATAACTGAAGTCGCTCTAAATAAATCAGAAAATTGTGTAACATTTTATTTAACGGGAAAGTTATAAGCATTCATTGTAAATCGACAAATCTAAAACAATATGGGATTTAATTCAAGTTTTTTTTAGTACACATTTTTCATTCATATATTTTCTTCGAAACTATTGTTTTAAAAATTCGGATAATTTTTTCAAAGAATTGGTAAATTGATATTTGAAGCGCATTCATTAAATACATTAATTTATTTCGACTTCTCAGAAATACTCTTTCATCTATATAGGAATGTATTTTGAATCAATAGTAATTCAAAACTTTTTGCATCAAATTCAGACAGCGTTTTGCATTAGCAAAGCAAATGAATTATTTATTTTGCTTAAAATAAACATTTTAATAAGACCTTTGCTGTTTTAGCGGTTTCCACTGACGTATTTTAATTTTTAATTTAAGTTTCTAATTGAGATGCAGTCGCGCAAAATGCTCGCTTTTAATGCAATTAAAATGCGAAAATGATACCAGTGGCAGCAATAAAACAGTTCAGGGAAATAATACAGAAATCTTCAAGCGTTAAGCATTAAATGACGCAATTAACATTTTTATTTATATGTACATTTGTGCAAATAATTAATTTGGGACGTCAAGTTCCGTTTCTTTTTTGTTTTTCTTTAATTAATCAAAATGAATAACTTTTTTCGCTTTTCTCTTTGTCTTTGCAGGTACGCAGTTTGAAGATTGATATGCTCTATTAAAATACCCATTTTGTTGAGGAATTGCAATCTAAAAGATGTGTAAATATTTAATTTGTAATTGTCCTTTACCCGCCAAAGGCACATTCTAAATTTATATGTCTGGCATTACTATTTTTTCTATTATATTCTGTTGCCAAGCGAATGTTTGTTCCAATTAAAATATATATATTTATATATCTGTACTAATCCGACATATTTTAGTACTTAAATGAAGTGTGTTGTTCTATAGTTTAAGAATTTATTTAAAATATTTGACTTGTCAAGCATTTCTACATATACATTTAACGATCATCATTTAATTTTGATCTCAAGAAATGATTAATGCGTAATCAGTGCGTTTAGTGCAACATATACAACACTGTGTGTAGCTGAACATAATCACACACACACACACACACGCACACACATACACATGCAATTCATGTTGAGAGCGTGGCTCGCTCAGTTGATCGTCGACACACATGTGTGACTCTTTCTTAAGACGGCGCACTCTCTTATACTCGCTCTTGCACTCTCTTATACACTGGAGACAATGATGGTCGAGTGCTGGTAAGACGTATGTACGTACGTATGTATGTATGTATGTATGTATGTATGTATGTATGTATGTACGTATACTGCTTCTAACTGGCAAAGCTGGCAAAGCTGGCAAGCTGGCAAACTGGTGACTGTGCAGCGTTACGAGTGTGTTGAACCTGTGGCAGAGCTCTTCAGCGCCATTCCAATTGAAAACTGGAATTGGTTTAACTGGAAGCATTGGTATGCGAATCTCGGAATGCCGGAATGGTCCATGGAAGTCTGCCAAGAAAACAAAATAATTGAGCACTTGATCAGTAGGCGCAACTTGTGCAAGAGCGAGACGGGGAGGACGCGGGCAAGAAGTCGAGAGAAGCGAGAGTCGAATCGAATCGAGAAAGGAGGCATCAAAATTAATACAATTCTTACACATTCTCACTCCTAAGAACGAAAATATATGTTTATTTGTAAATACGCATTTGTGCATGCACTAAAGACGCGCCAGGCATTTCAATGAATCAACACAAAATCGTTGTATCGCCGCACATTATATACCCTCTCGCGCATTATTATAAAATAGTGCATTTGTTTTACATAAAATCATAAAATCACTTACAAGACGTAGATGGCCAGTTTTATGCATTCTTTGGAATTCACTAGAAAAGACTAGAATACCCCATGTAAATGTAAATTTAAAGAGAACTTAGCTCGATGTAATGTAGTAGACAGAGAGAGAGAGATGGAAAGGTAAACCGGGAGAGCTGAGTGATGACAGAGAGAGGGAAGAGCGGCAGAGAATGGTGGTTTGGAGTTTTGCAATGTTGTTCCAACTGCTATTTCTTTGATTCCAATGAGCACTCAACAAGTCGATTTACAACAGCACGCACACACACACACACACAGGCAGCTACTCTCACGCATACACACACAAATAAATGCAGCAGCACGGTCAAGTGGTTTCCAAGTCGTCGAGCGGCTAGATACACAAGCCTGTATGTGTGTGTGCCTCTGTATGTGTTTGTTTGTGTTTGTGTGTGTGTGTGTTTGAAACAAGTAATGAAAGCAAAGCACTGGAAAAATAATGATTAGGTCTATGAAAAAATATACATTCAAAATTAGTCGAGAAGGAAAACTCTGCTTGGAAAAAATGCAACGCGTTAACGACTGAGGCGACGCCGAGTGTAGAGTTAAGGCAAAGAAACGAAATAAATAAATAAATAAAATGGGGAAAAAAAACTCGATTTATGAGTTTGAATTCAGTTTCTTTTTCACACGCACACTACAAACCAGCACATTGACAATAAACCGTTGTTCATTGCGTGTGTGTGTGTGTATGTGTGTGTTGCTTTTAAGCCGGGATTGCATACCACAAAAATGCTGGTTGCTGCTTGCTGCTGCTGGAAGTTGCGAGAGCTTGCCTCAAAATTATTCATTGCTCTGCATAAGTGAGTAAAATTGTAAAAAATGTGTGTGGCAAGCGGATGGGGTACACATATACATATATATATATATAAATATACATACATACAACATAAGATAAATGTACTAATTTTTCAAGTATTTTCCAAGTCAGCCGTCTCGCTCTCACACAAAGCATTCAAGTTCGTTTTCTCTTGTTTGTTGCTTACTTTAACCTTTGGGAAATCCCCCTTTTTGAGTACATATAAAAATGAGTAAACATCAAAAAATTCCAATACTTGTATTGTCTTGTATTGTTGTTGTAATTGTTGTTGTTGTAATTGTTGCTCACCTTGTGCTCTTCGGGACGCCGAAAGAGAGTGGCCCCGGCCAAGGTCTTTAAAAAACATTTCCAGTGCGAACTGACTGCTGCTTAAGGAATACAGGTAATAAAGATGGCCAGTTTTATGGGTGGGGGTGGTTAAGATGCCCCCTGAGCTCTTCCACATTCGTTTGCCAGTTTAAAAATAGAATAAAAATGTCTTTTATTAACCAGTTAGAAGTCAGCTTGCGTGACCGATCCTAAAATACTCTGTAAAAACTACTGTTTAAGCTACTGATGCCTAAAACTATAAAATATTTAATTTCTAAATAATTGTTTTATTCACATTTAAAAAATATATATTTAAAATCAATTCATTTTATGATTAGGATAAATATATATAAAATATTTAGTTGAAGAAATGACAAAACTAATATACTTTGTACCAGTTGGTAACAGGGTATAAGATCGAAGCTGTTCACATGGTAAGGGAGTTAGTGGGGGGGGTGCGAGCAGATGAGAAGGTGAAGTTTAAAGCGGAGACGCGGCACAGCATCGTAATCGGAACCACAAAAGCTAAACTGGGATCGGTTGATGGAAGGAAGGGAGGGGTGGGGGAAGGGGGGGGGAGTGGGGCTGACAAAGGAAATATGCTGCTGTGTTTATTTATATTTTTTCAACAGCTTGCAAAACCAGCGAGAAACGTGAGCTAAGGCAAATTGCACTTGGTATACAGTCGAATACATACAAACCTTATGTATTACATATATGCAATATTTATATTACATATATACATATGTATATATATATATATATATATATATATATGAGTGCAGCAGACAACAGAGAATATTTAGAAGAGTATTAATGGCATTACCTTGAGACCCTGGCCTGGCCTGGCCTGGCCTGGCTTGGCTTGGCCCAGCTAGGTGAAAGACAGCAGCCAGCAGTGTGTGGGGATGAAACAAAAACATTAATTACATATGCGCTGCCAGGGAAGACCTTGTGAGTTGTACATATCGTGTCGACACAGATAATTATGAAGCTGCAAAGCTTCGAGTTTTGATTGAAGATTGCAACAGCAACAGCAGCAACAGCAGCAACAGCAGCAGCAGCAGCAACAATAATTTACTTTGACTGTCACCGAGTCGCTTCACTCGCTGCAATTGGTGAAAGTTGGCGGCTGGCTGCAGTCTGCAACAGGCAAAATGCGAGTTTCATGATTTTTCAAGGTCTTTCCGAAAGTGTTGTTGCATGAAGTGGCGACTATCTACCTACAATGTTATCGTTGCGGCTGGCGAAAACCACTTCTGAGTTGCCTGAGTTGCCTGAGCTGGCTGAGTTTTGCTGAGTTTTGCTGAGTTGGCTAGTGAAACTCGATGGGCTGGCTTAGGTGACTTTAAGCCAAGTCATTTTCGAATGGCCCACTAATAACTGAGAAACTGCTGGAAAATTGGCATTCGCATAAAAAGGGCCAACTGCTAATGAAGAAGAAGCAGAAGTAGCATTTCAGTTGCAACAGTTGCAACAGTTGCATGCAGTTTTCTCGTTAGTTGCCCAATTGACTTGCGACTTCGATTTGTTTTAATTAAACGGCGACTTGAGTGTCAATTACTTATCACTCATAATATTCATATTGTTTTTTATTTGTTTTTTTTTGTTTTTGTTTTTTTTGTTGTTGTTGTTTGCTGTTTACCACATGACAGGCCGGGCCGCGGCTAGAGTGGCAATCAGTGTGAAAGGGTCGTTTCGACTGTATTGGTCATTCAACTCGACGGCTCGACGGCTCGACGGCTCGACAGTTGCCACTCAGTGTTAACGAGGCCTTATGTTTTATTTGTGCACACTCCAATTCGCTTGTAAGTATCTCGCAGAGACTCGCCACATCTTTGCGCCACAGCTGCATCGGGGATTCGCAATCGCAGTCGCAGTTGCAGTCGCAGTCGCATTCGCAGTTGCAGTTGCAGTTGCAGCCTCATTGGCCTCAGCGTTAACGTTGTTTTTATACCTGATGAGCATATATGTGCTGATGTACATATGTATATATGTATGTGTGTATCATATATATGTGTATACATACGCATGCAGCTTGAGGCGGATTTTACCTCATTTATACACGTTCCTGCTATGGTTGCTGTTGCTGCTGCTGCTGCTGTTTCTTCTGCTGCTGCTGTTGCTTCTTCTTCTTCTGCTGCTGCTGCTTCTTCTTCTTCTGCTGCTGCTGCTTCTACTTTATTTATTTTTTCTTTTTGCCTGCACCGACCCACCTACCCACCTCCAACCCCCTCCCACAGCGCAGCTTGCACCTCACACTCTGCCTACTCTACGCTCCATTGCGGGCAGTCAAGTTTTTTCCTCATCATCGTTGCTTTATTGTTTTGGTTGTTGCTGTTGGTTGTTGTTGCTGTTGGTTGTTGCTGTTGTTGTTGTTGGTTGCTGTTGTTGTTGGTTGTTTTTGGTTGTTGTTGCTGCTGTAATTGTTGGAGTGTAAAACTTTGGCTCTGGTATGCACTTTCTCCTCTAATACTATTTTTGCTAACATTGTTTTGCGTCGTCACTCGCCAGTCGTCAGTCGTCAGTCTTCGTCAAGCCTGAGCCGTAGCCGTAGCCGTAGCCGCTAAACAGCCATTGCCATCAACGTCAACGTCTCCGCCTTATACTAATAGTAGTAGTAGCAGTAGTAGTAGCAGTAGTAGTGGCAGTGGCAGTGGCAACCGTAGTATCAGTATAAGTATTCGTAGTAGGCTCGAGTATCTGTAACTTCAACATCTAATTTGCGGCTTTCCTCAATTTTCGTGGCACTTGCTTCCGTGTGTCATTCATTAGTCGCCACCCCCCACTGTTTTGCTGGAATTTTCTTCTTCTTTTCTTTTCTTGCTTTCTTTTTTTTAGGTTTTTTTTTTTGTGTATATTTTTATGTTACATCGTTTTTTTTTTCTTCATTTT